CCTACATCGTGACTGGCTCTCTAAGACACATGCCCGTAGCCAGGATTTTTGAATGGGGGGTTCTTCCCACTGCTAGAGGGGGACCTCGAGCGCCGTAGGCGCGAGGCGAGCGCCGAAGGCACGAGGTTCCTAGGGGGGTCCGGGGGCATGCTCCCCCGGAAAATTTTGAAAAATGAACCTTCTAAAATGGCATTTCGTGCGTTTTTGAGAGGATTTTCAAGAAAAAATCAGAGATAAATTTTTATTCAATGACAAAGGGAGCAGTTTTTCTACGATTCCAGTCCATCTTTTCAAGAAAAAATCTTGGACCTTTACATAAAAAGTGGACCAAAAAGTGGACCTTTACATAAAAAGTGGACCAAAAAATGGACCTTTACATAAAAAGTGGACCAAAAAGTGGACCTTTTAGCCTTGTGGGGGGGTTCTTCCGAACCCCCGAACCCCCCCTGGCTACGGGCATGATTATCACCTGATTTTTCCTGTTCTTTCTTTAGGCCAAAGGGTCTGGCAGGGAGTGATTAACAAAAGTCAGTCAGATGTTGCACCATGTAAATTTGCAGATACGTATATAGCTAGCTCTTGCCATTTTTCACCGCAGATCAGCTCTAACATAACTAGACCATTTCTCGTCCGGAAAATTACATCGAAGTTGAACTACGCCTTGGGTGGCGTCGATTTGCATACCCCGTCATTTGTGGCCATTCCCGTACGTTGCGCGACGGTAGCGTTACTAGCTGATTAGACGGCTAATTACATGTAGGTAACCTAGATTCTTTGACAGACTGGATCTGAAACGAACTGGTACTCTTCGGAATATTCCAGTCCAAACCAGCTCAAACCAGTCCAAACCAGCTCGTACTCTTCATAATATAATAGGCCTCCCATTATTTGGAGAGAATGTTCCAGACGTGTATCTCTACGAACGGACAAGATTGCAAGATTTTGTTTCAGAAAAGTATCACCGAAAAAAAATACTTAGTTTTTTTTTCCTTTTGACAGAGACAACATACATGTTTGATTCTGTCTCCATGCATGTTTTTTTTTTAGCAAACATAATGAGCCACAAGACGCGCATCTATATCTTACAGTAACCCAAACGCGCTCGCTTTCGATGCAGGTTCAGAATGATTTATGTAGATTTCATGAATGAAAAGTAAACATTGATAATCCAGACTGCTACGTATACCTAACAATGTTTGGGTTGCACTGAATCCACAGTAACCAGTTGATCAATCAGACCGGTCGTTTTCCATGCATGTTTGGTCTTGCAAATTCTTCGTTGGCCTTCCTTCATTATAATTTAGTTTGGTGCGTTCGAGCGAAGGTACCGTGTTTTCTGTTGGTGCAAAACCCAACACCAACAAATCTAGCATAAATAGATATTAGTGATGCACATCTGCTGTAATTAGTGCCACTTCAAGGCAACAAGCTTAGTCCATTATATGATATTTACACATATTCCTGTCTAAATTTGATCAAGACTAATAACGAATTTGAAGCAGCGCCAGTTACCATGGTGACATACGTCTGGTTCAGGGCACTGACCTTATTTGTTTGGAGAAGAAGAAGAGGAGGAGGAAGAAAAAGAAACACAGCAAAAGCAATATGTTATCCTTCTGTGACGGTAAACATAATAAGTAGAGCAGAACAGATATTGCGGAAAATACGTATGTCGACGTCAGGCCCATGACGTGCGTTTTAATCAAATAAGGTCAAAACGTCAGTAGTATCTACGTTACAAAATCGCCTACGTTAGCAATGTGCGGGAGACATAATCTCCATTCATCCAAGCAATGATGCAACCAGTTGCTTTACGCCATTTTAAAAGTAAGATGTAACGTTAAACCACCACAGGACGCATATATTGATCGGTTGAACCTGTTGCGCTGAAGGACGCGCTGTTTCACGAATTCGCGGAGCTATCAACGGCCACTTACAGCGATGCAAAATCACAGCATCTGGGGTCATTGACATTGTCGTAAAGCGACTTCCATTTGATCGAAAGCGCTGAGTAATTGGTAATTACTCAGCCCCAATTGGACTAATGCATATCGGCCAGGTTGAGATGTGCATGTGGTTACGCTTTTGTTCGTAAAGTGGTGGCCCAGTGTTACAATAAATGGTAATGTATTTCTGATATCAAATGCCTCTAGCTGACAAGATATTTTGTTGCTAAAACATTCGCGCTATTTTGCCTCATTTGATAACATCATAGATGTATTATCATTGTTACCATTGCTCATATGACGATTATGAGAGTCGGCAAATTCTTCTCAACTAGACCGAGAAGCCTCACGGTCAAATCTTATACACATGAAATAGTGAAGAAACCAAATATTCACGAGACAAAGCACGGCATGTATGTAAATGTAACCTTGATAATGATACGCAATATACGCATGTACATATATGATAGTCTATGATTAAGAAAACATAGTAGGGTCGAGGAGGATATGATGATATTTGTATCTCTATAATCTTTGTAGATTTTGTGATTATTAAGGCGGGTTTGTTTATGGTCTTTGTTAATTCTATGGTTACCCATACAGGTATATATTCCATAGTTATTCATTGTGATAAAACCCGTGTACTTACTGAGGAAGTAGTTGACGAAAGCGTACCAGACGCACGCCGCGCGGCCGAACAGCCACCGCTCGCCCACCGCGGACGCCACGGCGAAGGGGCTGCCCAGCGCCGCCACCAGCACGTCGCTCAGCGCGATGCCGCCCAGGTACAGGTGGAACGGCGTGCGGAGAGACCTGAAGCACCAGAACACCAGCACCGTCAGGAGGTTGGCGATGAAGCCGAACGACCCGATGAAGCCGAGCCAGACGGCCATGAGCAGGTGTTGCTCCGTGGTGAAGTAGGCCGGGGTTGAGGTGGGATCGGACGTCAGCAGGGCTTCAGGTGTTGGTGCCATGGTGTCTGGAAACGTCCCGTTCTGCCCAACCGACTCCATGGCGAGACTACCCTTAGATGCTCTCGCCACCTACCAAGACGGTCCTAGCACCTACCTACACGGCCTACAACCGGTGCTAAAGGATTTTCCCAACTGTTGCCCCGTACGGGAGCACTCCGACAGACACGCATGCGTGAAAATAGCCCTGTCGCCAAGACAACGCTGCACTAATCGAAGCTCCTTTTCAAATGCAAGGTCACGAGTATTGTTCGAGGCTTCCTTTATTCATGAGATGCTTGAAAATTGGGCATCATCACAATATGGCCCACTGACCGGACAAATCATCATTTGTAGGCCAAGTCTATGCCCGCTTTCTTCCGTTTACCAAGGCTAAATAACATGAGTCACAAAAACCATCATAGACTAGTTGTTTCATTTCTTCCAACATTATGGACCAGTTTCGCGAAATGGTATATCATAACTGGTACCAAAGAGCTTCAAATAGCTTCTATATTTTTTTAGCTATACTCGGAAGTACATGTACACATCGTTGCTACAGTTACTGGAGTGTGCGTGTTAACTATTCAGGTCAACATTCCAAATAGACCTATTTCCTAATCCAAATGAGTATTTTCACAGGTACTGGTAGCAACGACTCTTCGTGCATATATGGGAGAGGGTCGCTCGAGGACGAATGCGATACGGTTCGGCTCAATTTTCTCAGAGAGGTGACTGACCTTTCCTTCCTCAGTGACCTTTAACGAAGGACGTCAGGTACTTAGGCCTGCAATGCAGAGTGTTCCGATAGGGGTCGTGGATAATCAAGCAATCTGTTGGTATCAAGACAGCACAAAGTTGGAAGCAACTTGCGTTGTGTGACTGTGTGACGGGGCTGGTGTGTTGTGTGCTTGCAGGGCTGTTTTGTTCACCACTTCACAGTCAAATAATGAGTATGTTGCTTTGATCATTTGGGCTGATTTATATCAATAAACAATAGGCGTGTTGAGATGTCGTGATTAAAAATATCACCAGGCGGCGCTCTGACTTAGATCAGCCAGAGGCTCAGAGCAGCGAATATGTGGCTATTGCTATTGATCAAACTCCCCAAGTTGTGTCAAATGCACGTGTCACAGAGAATTAATTTGAGCGGGAAACACATTCATACCAGACGATAACATATCCCCCGCCATCAAATGACAACTTCCAACAAACTAGACAGTAACAAAAGCATTTATTAAATTTATTCAGGATACATCCAAAATCACATTACAGGACAGAAATGCTCCCAAATGGCAAAAGGGCATACTCTCCAAGCAGAGGTTAAGGTTCGACTTATTTTTTGACATGTTTAGGCGTTTTTATCGGACATTCTTAGATACTGGTATATTTTGTTTACTCCAGCCAAATGGCTACTGACTTGCCAATCTGATACTGTTGTATTGTCTTGCTGCCACCAAAAGATCTGCCTGGAGATTAAAATGGGCGTGCGCATGTGCCAAAGGCGCCCAATTCCCTGTTTAAAATTAAACTGTGGTACTCCCATATGTTATGAAAGTGATAATAATGAATTTATGAAATTTATGATTATGAATTTAATAACAGATGTTTGAGATCATTTCTGTAATTTGAAGAAAGGAAGTCTGACATCTCAACCGTATTGTAGACATTGTACGACGTTACACATGACAATACTTTAAAAGGATTATCATAATTACATATATCTGAATCGTTATAAGTTGAACACTATACAGACTATTTTGTCATAATCTAAATACTTTTGTGCGAACATACAGACAACCAGTTTTTCTGCAATTGGGCTCGTAGGCATTTGGGCTATTTTTTTTTTAATTTGGGCATTTTTTAATGTTGAAACTAAATTTCTTGTAATAACAATGGAATGTTGGAAGAATGATTGTAAATATTAACATAAGAAGCAGCATTTTACATTTTATGTATTCCGCTTCTACTGTACATGGTCCACAGACAAATAGTTTACATTTCCGTCAAGTTAGGACAACGTGGGATTCTATTATTTTACAATATTATTGCTCTTATGAACTTGCCATTCAGTGTATATATCCACTGCATCACAACTACTGCGACTCTCATACAACAATGCTGCAGTAAAGATGTGCGCGGATAGGTGGCGCTGCAAGTCATGGGTGAGTTCTGCTGAGGTTTATACATTTCCAAACCGGGTCCGGCCGGGATGTTTGCATGAACCGTTGAAACAAACAAGAATTCTTATCAGGAATATACGCAAATGGTATATTTGATTATCTATTTAAACCTTTTTGTGTTTTGTTTTCTTTTATATAGTGCTTTTCGTTTGGAAATGTGACCTCAGCATAACATATTGGTCGTCTCACATTATGGCGTATTTTCTGCATCGGTGTCGACTTCAACAGCCTTCACGACGATAGCGACAGCTTGCATCTCTATCCACTGTTGCGATGCCGTATCCTGCCGGGCTCCCTCCATCTCTGATTCATCATTACAAGCGTGGTCGCTCACAGATCCTTCGGTTTGCTTCGGCAGTCCGTTGTCATGGTCAGAGTTGGGTTTCCGGAAACCTTGCGAATTTTCCCTGGCACGGCTGTGTTACACGTACCTGCCGACGCAGAGGCATCAAACAGTCTGCGACCGCAGCACAGTAGCTCCTGGAAGTAGCGGCGGAACTGTACGGAGAGTACACATCAGATATTGGAACCAAATTGTACATATATCAAAGTATACATGATGTTTGTCTCGACAAACCACTCTCCAAGCAGAGGGTTGGGTTTTGGTTATTTTTGGCGTGTTTTTAGTTTTTTAATCGGAGTTTTTATTTTTTGCACCGGAATTTTTTTCACCCATTTTGGGTTGGGTGAAAAAAAGGCAGTACTCCCAGCACCGAAGCCTGGCCTGGTTGCCAGGCTACGTACCCACCTGGCTGTTCATGGCGAAGTAGACGATCGGGTTGTAGCAGGTGCTGGACTTGGCCATGAGAGCCGGCACCACGGCGGCGGTGTTCGAGATCAGCCGCTCCCCGCCGAAACTCACCACCAGGGCCATGGCGCCGTACGGCAGCCAGCACACCAGGAAACACGTGATCATCACCACCACCATCATGGCGATCTTCTGCTCCTTCTGACTCGACTTTCTCATAGCCGCAGGCAGGTTCCGCGAACCCTGCAATGGAGGGGAAATGTGTGTTTCATGAACCGTAATGGGAATGTGTTACAAAACGTTATCACGTCGTCCTTCTTACTGCAGCGTCACCTAGCAGAATCAGTCAGTGTTGCACCGAGACAGGTACCTGAATGATTACCGTGACGTCGGCATGTAATTACTAGTATCATTGGCTGTGTGCAATAAAATCTTGATAATCAATGGCAGATGTGCGCGTTTTCAAACCGAAAATTACAAAAGCAAAAATTACATTGTCGAAAGCAAAATCAGTATGTTTCGTTGCGTGGCGAGTTTCAAATTAACGACGTAACTCCAATACATTCTGTATTCAACATACTTTCTGTATATGTACACATGTATAGGAATTCTATGCTATGACTTACTTCCTTCACCTTGTACCACAGCCGGTAGTAGGAGTAGATGATGACGAGAAGAGGCGCGAACAGACACGTGGTGAACAGGGCCACGATGTAAGACGTGCTGGACCAGCTGTGTTCCTCCAGGCCACGGAGCACCCGATCTTAGGACCCTGTTTCACAACAAAAATGTCGAGTTTATTTGTCAGGATTTCCCCACAAGCTTGCAAGGCTAGGTTGTTCCATGACCACAAACTGCTTCATTTTCTTTGCTATATTTACGCTTGAATAGCTTTGATATGAGTCGACTTCAACTCAACATAACATTCACCGTTACCCAATCCCTTGAGATAACTGAAGAGAAAAGCCCTACGCAATATGAACTAGGTACTTCGTACAGGTAATATCATAGCGAGAGTAATAGCGTATATACATGTCTCTTATGAAATTCCGGTTTTCCGTAATCCCTCGATATATATCACTTTACGTGGGCGGCAAAGCTTATGCGGATTACTTAAATGTACCTTGCCCTGATATAAGATAGGTTATGCATATGGGTGTGCGCCATTAATAAACGTCATACCATAAGTCAGATTTCAAATGTCGCAGCGAGAGGTTCAAATGCAAACTGAAGAGGCATAACCATGCACTGAGAACATTTCACATATGGACTTGCGTAGGTATATATGGCGAAGGAACATTTATTTATTTATTTTTTTTTTTCAACCTTTATTTAACCTTGAAATGTACAGTACATGTGTGTATCAGTACAACTCTTCGGCTTAAGCCGTTTTTCAAGAGGTCAAGGGGAGGTAGGTCAGGGGTCTTTGCAAATTCTTCGGTTCAGTTACAATCAATAGAATCAATTACAATATAAATATATACAAAGTGTACAAAATTCAAACACTCTCTCGGTATCTCAGTATCAAACATCCAAGTTCACATATTAAGTCGTTCTAAGTTGCTTGACGCAGCCGGTTTTTAAAAGCTGCAACTGACGTAGCCGTTCTTAGCTCAATTGATAAGTTATTCCACAGTACTGATCCTGAGTAGGAAATCGATCTTCTGTATACTTCCCGACGAACCCTTGGCACATACAAAAGGTCAGATACACTTTGTCGCGTGGTTCGTTTATAGTTATTTTATAACTCGACCAATCACCGGTGGGCGTCCTACTATATCAAGTACATATACATGTATCTGATACCAGCACAGAAAAGAACAAGAAATAGTCATGCCTTGAAGTGACAGAGTATCAACCAAGAATTGAGGTGTTCAAAAACTCGTTTTTTCCTAGAACTATCGTAGAGTGGAAGTCACTCCCACCAAGTACAGTACTAGTAGGTTTAAACAAAGTTACATGTTAGATGTGCAAAGGATGGTGTAACAAGTCGTTCAGTGTTGATTAATATTAGCTGCTGCCGTGCCGTGTGCGTGCCCGTGAAACTGGTGTGTCACGCCTTCTCCACGTGCAGTGGTGGTTATGCCTTCTACACAGGCTTTCCATGACGTCATACTAATTATCATACGAATCCCGGCGACCAGTTGTTGGCGGGTTAACTTGATTACAACAAAAGCATGTTGGCGTGTTTAACAGATATAAACTGTGTTATCCAACATGGCGGATGTAAAACGCCTGTGTACAGATGCAGCCTGATACAGGTAACTGTACGCAACCGTCGAACATTTAAAGCACTATTGACGTATGTATGTATGTATGTATGTATGTATGTATGTATGTATGTATACATACGTGTAGAGGTGCAGGGTAAGGGCACACGACCTTGTAAAAGAGCTGATTCAGAAGTAACATGCCGGAGACCGGAACGTTTAATACTGTTTTGCTCTTTTACATAATCGTACAAGACATAGGGGGATTTTGTGTATGTTTGGGGTCCAGTTCAACGGATAAGAGTATGCGTCATGCGTTATATGTACCTCAGGCTGGGTAATATCATTTGGCGTGAAATGAAGTACAAACCAAGCTGGTTTCAGGTGATTTTGGAGATAGGATTATAAAAGCGTAACCCAAGAATTCTGCTGTTAATTTTATTTTTGAGTGTAGGCATGTCAGATGTGTTTTTGGCGACGCCTCAGTGGTAAATACATTTTACGGTGGTCCGTAGATACTTGTTTTTTTCCGTAGCATTTTCAATCTTGTGACTGGTGTGCAAGGCGCAATTGAATTCGTGCTGCATAATTTTTACTTTATTACTTAAACCCAACAATTTGGTTCTTTTTCAGTCGATTGCGGTACCTCGAGTTGGTAGCTGCTCCACCCCGCGATAGGTAGAGCCGTCCACAACAGACAGTACAGGTAGATGAAGAGGATGGCCAGGCCCACTTTGTTGTAGGTGAGGTAAGAGGAGCCCGGACCCTTCGGCTTCACCACCATCCGGTACCGCTCGTAGGAGATGACCGCCAGGGAGATCAGCGACACCAGACCTACATTGAGAAGTAGGCGCATCCGGTTAGGACTTATCAAGTACTAAACCTAGTACTAGCATAGGCCTGCTCTGATAATTCTCACTCCAACACATTCATATATATGGTCAGACAGGAGTCTAAATCCTGCTATAAAATTGCAACATGATGTAACCCAACACCAGTTACCATGGCGACAGCCGGTTGGTTCAGGTAATTGACTATTTTGGTTTGGAGAAGAAGTGGAAACTGAGCAAAAACGATGTTTATTAACTACATAATCAACTGATTAGAAACCAAGCAACAAAGCAAATTAAGGAATAAAACCACCAACCAACCAACCAACCAACCAACCAACCAACCAACCAACCAACCAACCAACCACAAACAAACAAACAAACAAAAATCAATATTCATTGCACAATGAGAATACAACATCGACACCGCACATTTCAGTAATCCAATAGTCGGAGATTCAGCTGAGTCAGTTAGCTGCTTTGCTTTCCAAATATCGACTGCCGTTGGTGATGCAATTTGTACACGTACGCACACACGCACACACTCACAGACACTCAATAAAATAATATTTCTTACAAGTAGGACAAGGTCAAATGAGCAAAAGGTGGGCATTGTTTGCCTATAGGAAGATATAAGTTTACATTTTCGCGTATATAGAAGAGGCCGTGTCAAAAGTTTTTACATTTATTGCACGATACAGCAAATATACTTAATATAGATTGATGGTTACAGTTGTAAACGTACATTTTGCTGCTGCTGTTGTTGCTATTGTACCGCAGAGAAGCCGCATTGCACCGTCAGCTATTAAAACACATTGCGCTCCGTCTTCAACATAACACGTCGAGTTCAACGGAAGAATTAAGGAGAATGGGTAGCAAGGTTCATTGACCCATACTGCATTGATTACGCTTTGTTAGGATTTGCGCTTAATGGTCTTTAATGAATACATATAGGGTTCTATTGACATTATACCAGGATTTGGCTAATGGTCTTTACTGGATACAGGATTCTATTGCCCTTTTACAAAGCTGATGATCTATCTGTATCCACATGTGCAGCCTGCTCACGAATTCACAGCACATTCACACATTCTTATTAAGACGAGTTTCTCTCGTCTCCGATGACTGTTTTCCATCTCTTGCCATCTTTCATTTCTACCGTCAGGTTTCGTCTGTCAAGCTTGATGTCGTCCATCAATTGGTTACTGAAGTTCCTTGTTATGTTGAACTTCTTTCAATGAACCGCAGCCTTCTTTTTATTTATTGTTTCACTCCATAGTGGTATAGTTCCGTACAGCTCACTGTTTGATATCTTTTGATACCAGTATACGTTTTTGACAGTTGTAAGCAATTTGGTGTAGGAAGTGTAAATTAAAGTGTTAATTAAAATGGAATGGTTCTTTTTCTGGACAGACTCCTACCGGCAACCCCGTTTTGTAATTATAGCCCCAATGGTGTGTGGTCTGCCACATATGTAATGTGGTCTGCCAGACACCATTAATGATTCAATTTATATCCCGTCCAAACTTCGACTTTTAAATTGGAGGTGTTGCGACTTGTGACAACTCAGGGGGAAAGTTTCAGCACTTCTTGGTTAATCCTTAAGACTGATGGAGGGTTACTGGTAGGATCAGCTGGTATATATGATGATAAGCTCGTCGAAACGTGAAATGTGACATCGAAAGATCCAAGACCTTTGACAGAAGTCATCACGACTGGCGAGGCACGGTCAAACTTCCATCTGCCAGAAACTACCGTCCTACCGTCCTACATCTCCACAAACATTTGATTTCATATAACCGTATCTGTGTGGTAAATAAGTTCATCCCAAGGCCTCTAGACTTGCACCCCAAATCACCGTCTGTGTTAGTAGATATAGTGAAGAATGTGTCCTGATTTTGGATTCCACATTTTGCTGTGCCACTATGTCAGCTGTAGCTGACCTCTAGGTAATTGAATCGGCCTAGTTCTCCTCGAAATCAATACATCGATTGGATTTGTCAAAGAAAGGCAATGGACAATCCTGGCACATGGGCACATGTCGGTTAACGGCGGTCGACGTCACACGTGGACTAGATTTTTCTGTGACTCTGTATGCGATATGACAGTATTTAGCAGACTGGTAAGTATTAGCCTGAAAAGAAACTCTTGGTGTCATTGTACATCTACGCAGCTCTCATCTGACAAGACAAGACAAGACAAGACAAGACAAGACCTTTTCATAGCATAGATGCGAGTGTGGCTTTCAGCTGATGTATGTAATATACAGGTATCTCATACCGTTTGATCTATGCCTTGAAAACTCCCAAATGTTTAACCCATAACTACGAAATATCATTAACGTTACTAGTTTTTTTATTCCAACATGTAATCACCAGACGTGGTGACAGTACACTCAACTTTTTTTCAACTTACATTTATGCCGCCACCAACACAGGGGACAAATACATGACAGGACAATACTCATTTTCACCTGAGCTAAGAGAGGAAAGTCGTGTAAAGTGCCTTTCCCAAGGGCACAAGATCGGTGGCATGTCAGGACTCGAACCCGGGACCTCTAGGTTCCGAGACGTTTCTAGTTCTTCTTTCAAACATGGTGAATGGTCTGTAGCTCGTCCTTGCTGTTAACGCAATGTTTAAGGACAGCGACATTTTGTGTAGCAGTGTTTCCCCTTCCTGTACTCTATCTGAACGGTATAAATCTTACAATCTCTCAAAGTAAAGTCGCCAGAGCGACCCAAAGTAAAATAGTCCCACTGAACACCTGGTACCTGGACGTGTGCGCATGCCCCAAAGTGAACGCTATTAGGTACTCCTGCGTCACACCATGCAGTGATCTCGTTTGTCCGCAGTAACGGACGCGTTCATTGGTCATGATAAATGGGCCGTCTTCGCGCCAATTTCTGCAGACGATAATTGGGGACCACTTACATCGTAATGACTATAGACCCTCGCTGACAATTTCGTAG